TGCTATTTGTGGAGCGGTGTTTCTAAAGCATCTAATTTGAGAGTGATTTAGTAAAAACAATCATCAAGAACTGGTGATGTTTTCCCTTTCGTTTTGCATAGAAGAATTTTAAGAGTATCCCTCCCACCAATCATTTATAAGAAAATGGGGAAAACAGTGTAACTTAACACTTGTAGTTTGAAAAATGAGATAAGAAACAAAATGTACATATATGTATTTGGTAAGCAGGGTAACTAAGCTTGAGGGAAGAAAATGGTTTCAACTAAATGCATGGATGCACATTATGAAATAGCCAAGTTTTTATGTTAACATTTATACCACCTGACAGAAAAACTCTCAAATTATTACACAAGAGTGCTAACACTAAGTGACTTTGATTAAAAAGACCATCTTTCCAGGGCACACGTGCATTGCCATGAACATTATCTGCAAACCTGAGCATAACATCAAAAGGAAAGGGCCTCATTGCAAGTCAGAACAGTTTTAATGTAATGAACTGATATTAAAAAAGATTCACATAGTATACCTCTCCCCATCTTTCAGCTGAAAAGCATTCATTAAGGAAAATCTATGCTAATGGTAGCAGCATAAACAGAATTCCAGATCAGGAAGAACACAATGACCACCCTGAAAAGCCCACTGGTTTCCTTAAGAGATTCACTGCCTTGCTCATCTCTGTGGCAGCCACCACCCGTCACAGCGCCCCCTAGCCCCTCCCTGGCACTGCTACAGTGCTGAGGGGTGTCAGAGATGAGCTTGCTCCTGGCTAGCTAGTAGCATTACTCCTGATAGTGAGCGGACCCTGGCTGCTTTGGAAAAGTTTCGAATCAGCTCCAGTTTGGAACTGACCTATTTTAGGTTGACTCTAAAAAGCTTTACCTATTTTAGCCTTGACTTCCGTTTTATTCCTTTGAGAAAAATATATCTTTGCATGATTGGAAAAAAAAACAAACAAAAAACAGTTCCAAATCTCTTAAGATAATAAAGAGCACTGGATCAGCTAAATACAAAAAAAAAAAAAAATCAAGAAAAACAGATTACATTTTTATTTTATTAGTACTATCCATAGAGAAGGGTGCTGTATCCTAAAACATAAGGGTTGGAAAAGTTCTTCACACTTTCCTGATACCAACAAGCCTTGAACAAGTCATCCTCTACTTCTGGGTCTTGACTTCCTCATTACAGAATATGGAATTAGGGCAAAATTATTGCTAAATCCCTTCTTGCTCTGAAAATAACCTATCAAGCAGTCATATTTTTATAACTTTTACTGATGATATTAGTGTTGTAGGAAATGTATAGGAAATTTGAAGGAAGGAAAGGAAGGTTTGCCTGAAATGTTCAGAAAATGCTAGATATAGTAGAAGTGGTTCTTGAAGATGGCTTTTAAGCCTTAGTGGTTAGGAGGTAAGACAATATATTAATAAGTTATGAAGACTTTTCACAGCACATTTATAAAGGTTATCCTCAAATGAAATTTGTAGACTCCTCTGTTTAAGTAAAATAAAGCAAGAGGGAATTAAAAAGAGGGATTAAAATGTTCCACGTATTTACCTTTCAAAATACCCAAACCTACATTTAAGAAATTGACCCAGGGGGATATATTAATGAATTTAATCACTTCGTGGCCAGACAGTTAAATAATCTATAGTTATTTAACTAATTTACGTAAGTCAGTAGATAAGATGTTCATAATTACATCTTGATAGAGTTCATAATTCTAAGTTTGGGGTTTTTTTCTTCCTCTGTCCCAGCCTATTTAAATATATTAATTCTTTCATGTTCCAAACTTTTGTGGTAAAAAAAAAAAAACCCTTCTCCCAACAATGAATGATATTTGAACAACTAGTTTTCCTGGAATGAGGGTAAGAGTAAATAAAATATTAAATTTTGGAGTGATTTTATTTTACAGTTAAAATTATAGTATGCCCTTTAATCTAGCTTTTATTCTGAATTAATTTTGACCCCTAAGTAAGAGATTATTCATAGGTGAAAGTCAACCATGTGACTTACAGTTATTACATTTAAATTTTCATAATTGTATTTCTGCAATAAATAGATGTATAGATGTGTAAAAATAAAATTGTGTGAAAATGTTTTAGACACACACACACCAGAAATTGGACACTCAAAGTGCTGCCCTCTTCAAATAGTCATCTTAAGCCAATGAGTGGGCATTGAGCAAAATATTGCTGTAAGGGCCTTTTGGAAATTATTTTCACAACCTGAGACATGTTCTTCCAACTATAGACTACTATCAGAGGCTGAGAACCTTTTTTTTTTTTTTTTTAGGATTATTTTTGTTTGAGAAACAAGGAGAATTTATTCAAAACCAAGTCTAAATACGTAAGTTGAGTATTTCAAACTGGAAAATGCCATCTACAATCGTGATGCTAACTAAGGTAGTAAGACTGACTTTCCTGTGTGACTAATGGGAGAGATGACCAAATACCCAATTAGTTGGAGCCAAGTGCAAAGGCTGTATTTATAAATGGCAGACCTGGGAGATAATAGTCAGTTGGGTGGGACCCAAGGTGCAGAATATACTGTTGAGCCAGTTTCTAACTGCACTGCTCAGAATGTTTTTCTCTTTCAACATATATGTGCAGGGAAAATAATTGCCATTAAGTGTTGCCATAAAGAAATGAGTATATGTATTTGAAAGAAGCAAATTAGTATGCATATTTCCAAATGAGTATTGTCCTTCAAATGAGCCATCTTGGTGCCCATACATCCACTTCACCAATACTACTGTTTTTGGTCAAAACTACTTTTGAAACTTGTCTTTTAGAATTGTCTTCTAAATATGTTCATGAATCACACAAGAAAGCTGGTCACATTATTACATCACCCAGGCTCTTATAATCTATCTTTTCTTCTTTTTCTTCCTCTTCTTTTTCTTTCTCTTCTTTACCTAAAACAAGCTACAATAGATCACCTTTCTGTTCACCAGTATTGGCAGTGAATGATATTACAGAGCTTCTCAATACACAATAATTTGACCTCATTACAGATTTGTAAATGGGATGTCCATCAGGAACATAATTTTAAAGAAAAGAATGGCCACACAATTTGAATAAATACAGACTCTTGAGGTGATGCCCCTGAATGAAAAGACTTATTTGAAAATGTAAGTTTGGGTTTGTTTGTTAGAGTGATCTCATTATTTTATATTCAAACCTCATACATTTTATATAATTTTGGTACCCCAAATTAGGGAATAAATATTGTTGCATGAATGGTATCTGCCAGTAGAATTGCTTGTAGCATCTTAGAAGGAAGTAACTAAGTTATAAAAAGGGTATTCAATGAGTGTTTTAAAAGCATTGGATATATTTTACTAGGCTAAGATATGAATTTTTAATTCACACATACATTCTCTTAGAAAGACAAAGATTAGATGCTCAGGGAATAAACCTCATATGAAAACACTAGCATTTCAAAAATGTTTATCATATATCATATGTGAGATGTGTGTGGGGGGTGCGGGGGGAGAGGAAGGGGAAAATGAAAACAATCCTTGAAATGTTCTAAATCCATGAGGTATAGAAGGTAATTAAATGACTCACAAAATAAAATGTAACTTCCTGGTACACAATAATTGGAAAAGAAAAAACTCTCTTCACACCCCCAAGGAAAACAGGCAAGAGCATCTTTAGTTTTCACTTTCCTTCAAATTTAGGAATGCTTGTGTTTCAATTTGATGATTTGCTGGGGAAACAAATAGAAACTATTACTTTTTTCATTAGCTGAAGAATGAGCATTTTTGTTACTTTGCAAAATAAGGGTTGCAATAAAACAGTCATGCTTAGACCCTTCATGTGTGTTTGGGCCCTTAATTCTTTCTCTGCTTTGCATGTCTGGAACTCACATGATATCAAGTGTATCCTAATTTCCAATAAATTAATACATTACATAATCTTCTTACAAGCAGATTAGGTTTTTATTTTTTTTGGTTGTTTTTTTTTCATATTAAAATCAGCCAACAAAACAACTGAGAGGAACATCTTAGGACATTTTCATTTTTGTAGAATCATTTAAATCAACCCAGTTCCCCTTTGCAAGCATGGATATATCAAACAATTCATACCCCATTTCGATTTTTAACATGGAAGTACCATGTATTTTGGCTCTCTCAAGTAATAGAGCCAGGATCATTTTATAATTGAAACATGTGAGAAATATTTGACACTTGTAATCAAGGCTTCAGAGATGCCTGTGTGCATTGTTTTAAATACTTTCTGCATCTGTGATCATTTCTACTTCTCTTTAAGCATGAAGCTTTCCTACCCATCATTCCCTCTCTCAAAACACAAAAACATGCACACGCGCGTACACACACACACACACACACACACACACACACTACATTCCCAAACTAAATAAGATGATCAATTAAGCAAAATAGTTGTTCAATTAAATTAAAATTTCAATGAGAATCTTAAATTGATCATTATATTTATTTCAAGATATTCCTCCCTATTTGAAAGCATCAGGTCATTTCAGTCAATTAGAATGATCAGTGAAAGAGAAGGAAAAAATGACCCAGATGCTATCTAGTAAAGGCAGGATTTTGCTGGTTTTCCAGTAATATAGTTCCTAAACACCTCCCAAGCCCTGTTGATATAAATGGGACCATTGATTTCTTTGGGGATTTTTTTTTTCTTGTAGTGAGGAAGTAGGCAACAAAAGGAGACCTGTATGTTACCTGAAACATTCTTAATTATTCTGAAATGGGCACCTTGTTTACACACCTCACTGAGCATTTTCTTCATTATTTCATTTAGCAGTTCCTGTGACTTTAATTCTCGATACAACATTTTAAGGTAAATCTGCAAACTTCACAGATGCACAAATATCATCGCAGCGTACCAAACAACAAGGTTATCTGAACCAAATATGGAATTCATAGCTATGTATTCTTTTTTAAATGACATTTGCAAATAGTTAGACTGCACATCTGTGGTTTGCTCCAAATAAATACAAGATTAAAGCATTACCTTTTTAAACTTGCCGATTCTCCTTTCTGTAAGCTTTGGCTCTGGCAAGCCTCAGTTTTTCTTGTTACAGCCCTTTATCACACGTCCCCAAGTGAGGAGGAATGCTTTGCAAGCTTTTTGGCAAGACGTGTTGTTAAAGCTAAGCTATTTATCTGATAAACATGTTCACTATAACTCAGCGTTTTTTATTTTTATCTTTTGTTTTAAATAACTGACAGAATTCTAAACTATAAAAGGAAAAGAAAAAAAAAGAATTCAGGGTAATGATTATCTTCACATAAGTATTCACCATAATATCATTCAAATAACAAATTTCCTTCCTCTTGCCTTAAAATTGATTTAGCTAACATTTTCATGTGATTAACTATCATATAATTTTTAAAATGTTGTTTACAAAGGGCTTGCTGGGGTGTGGAAAATTCTAATAACGTACTTTGGGACAGAAGTTCAGAATACCAAATTATGTAAAATTTATAATAAAAATTGTTATAAAAAGCAAAATCCTAGAAAAAAAGACTGGAAGGAAATATTGTAAAGTATTTCCAGTAATTGCCTTATGGCTGTTAGGATTGCAGATTATTTATTTTCTTATTATACATTTTTCCTGATTTTCAGATCTTTCACAATGGGCTAAATAAAGAAAAATAGTTGCAAAGATGTTTTTCTTTGAACAAAAAGGACTCTGAAAACTTTCAAAATGTTACTTCTGTGGTATAAGGCAAAAAAGACATAAGTGCTTTTTAAAGACATAAAATCTTTTAAAAATTATTCTTAACAGATTCAAACAATGATTTAAGTACAGACTAGATAATTTGTGTGATTTATAGTCTCTGAGAGTAAATTCCCAAATATAAGGGAAATTTTATTGACCAAATACTACCTAGAAGGGAGTATACTGATACTTATAAATTCTTCCTTTGACAATAATATGTGGTAGTTCTTTTTCTTTCATGTGGATTTTTAGGGCACTATTTAACAAAAAAATTTTTTTATCCTTGTTACAAATTTTAAAAATTACATATATCTAAAGGTAATTTTAATATTACCACAGTACTTTTCAGGCATATATATTTTTAAATTCCTCAGTGACTGGCAGAATTCTCCCTTCTCCAAACTATATTCTACACCTTTCTAATTTTGAGATGTCATCCATAGATTTGGTAAACAAATAGTTTAAGGACTTTGGTCTCAAGTAGAGATAATAGTATTTTGGGTTTTAATATGATTAGCAACCCTTTTAACATGATTAGTAATCCTTTTGATATTTTAGAACAAATCAAGATTTTATATCAATTTAATTTTTTACAGAAAAAAAACCTGTTGTATAAATTGTTCTCATACATGCTTCTGAATTCTTTTACATAGATTAAAATGGGATTTTTAAAGCATATTCAGTATTCATTATGGTCTTTATAGGTAATCGTAATAACTAAAAATGCTTTTCCCAAACTGTATGCAGAGTACAGATGAAATATTGGTGGACAAAAGGCAAGTAAAAATGGTCTGGAATTCCGCCGTGCATCTGTCCTCAGTAATTTAAAAATACTAATTTTGTTCCATTGAATGGTGAGGAAATATTTCTTTTTCCTTCTTTGCCTAAAGGTCATCTATAATTGAGGACAACTTAGCAAGTGTCCAGAGGCTGAGTGGGGCTTTGATCTAGGTGTCTAGCCTTTCTCAGTGCAAATCTTGCTGGGGAGAATGGTGGGAGTCACATCAGTGAACTGGCTGCCTTACTGAAGGTTATCAGGACCCCCCCCTTCCCTCTCCCCTGCCGCCTCCCGCCCCGCACTCTGTGAGCACTTCTGTCTTTCTGAGGCAGGTTGGTTTTGTCTTGCAGAAGCTATCTTCAGGTATAATACTAACCTTAAACCTGTTCATCTTACTCATTCTCAATTACCCTGATTTTACTCTGAGATTCTTGGTATGTGTTTTTATCTCTGAACACCTTTATCAAATCATTTAAATATATATATCACGCATGTTATTTGATTCTGGATAAGCAGAATATTTTCATTCTCAAAAACAGAATTAGATTACCATTTGTTATATAAACCCCTTCATATAATGCTTTTCATTCAAGCATTGTAGGGCAATAACACTGATACTGTGAATTTTCTTTTGAAACAAAAATGCTCCAAATTTGAATATATTCTGGAAATGTGAAACAATTACATATAGAACCTAGGTACATTTATGGAATTCTTTGGAAACATTTTTATTATGTTTTTACTCATATAAAAATTAATAAAAACAGGAAAAAAGATTAAAATCATTCTAAATAGCCTTCTACCAATTATTTAGACTGCCTTGTTCAATTTGAAAACTTGGCAGTTATTTTATCAAACTTCGTATAAATCATTGTCAGAGTCCTGTTGAACAGTCATTCTGAATTACACTATAACCAATTATTTTTATAATAAAATATTTCATCAATTATAAAATTCATTTGTCTTTTATCCCATTTAGATAAAAGTAAGTCAGCTATTTCCTAAAACAGGGCTTCTTGTAAGTACTTTTGCATGGCCAATTTATATTCACATAATTTTATACTTTTTTTAATCAAACAAAAATATTTTTCATTGAAGCAATAATACTTTTGATTTCAATCCCCATGCTATTTAATCAAATAAACATTTACATTTACAAAATCACTTTAAGTACTGTTCTAAACTTAAAGAAGTCATGATGATAGCTATATGTTTGTTTCCTAGTAACGTCTTCAAGTTATAGGGCAAATTCTTTCAGAGAAGAATAAATCTTTGTGACAAATGGTTATAGATTCTTTAATTTCTTCCTTCGGTGATTCAATCTTCTTGAGGACTTTTGTATAGATACACTAAATATTGCATTTTAAATGACTATAGAATTTTTGTGGTGCAACATGAATGCTTACTATTGCATACCAAAGTAAAATATATAGTTTTTATTTTACATATCTTTATTTTGGAACAATTCCATTTCATTTAACATAATTCTACAGTGTGTTTTAATAATAACAAACCTCTAATTGCCCATATGTCTGTACTATGTTTGTGGTTAAGATAAAAATACACTTTGAATGTATGTTGAATGGATTTAGTTTATAGATTTATAATTTCTGCAGTATTTATTGCCAATTTGAATATTTTTGTATTGTATCTTGTGGTAGCATCACAAAACATCAAAAGAAGTTTATTACCTTCAGTTAGTTATATAAAAGCTGAGCTCAGGGTAAACAGTAAATAAATACATTTATAAATGACTCTTTGTACATTGTTATATCTGTACCTAATTTTTGTTCTTAACATTTTGAATAATAAATTGTTTTAATGTTAAAACTCTATCATCATAAAAACATCTATTTCCTTTTTTTAGTCATACCAGGACTGTTTTCTTGAGCACCCTGTCTTAAAATTGCTATCAAATAACATTAAGTTTAATAATTGAAAATAAGTTTTTACTTGGAAAAATCTATATTTTTCTATTCTCTAATAAAACATTATTTTATTTTTATGGCACGATTATTAATCACCCTTGCCCATGTAGCCTGATCACATATTATATCATATAGTCTTAACAGTTACTTTTCCGAAAACATTCAATTCGACTGCAAACAAATAGAAAAAGCTTTTGTATGTGATACTTTATTCCCAAGAAAAGTAATTCTTGGTTTTGATGAATGTCATTTATAAAGCAAGACATAGTTATTTTTCCAAACGTGTGATCAGTAAGTGTTCATTTTCATATCATTGTTAGTAACAGAAGCAATCTCATTTAGGAGCAAGGCCATTTTAATGTTAGTGTATCCTCGTATAAAAAGAAGCTTGTCACACTGCTCTCTAATAGTGAAGGATTTCAGTTCCCCTTTATGCAGGCATTCGCACCTAGTATTTTCCAATTCTGTAATGCAAACATTCAAGGAGAGGTTAAATACAATGTTGGCTTTGCAATATGTATACAGAAGAGCTGCACGCATTTTGCACAGGCTTCGTTGAATTTAACCCTGGGTCAACAGACATGTTTAAACGTGGCCTTGAACATAAATGGTGCCTACCGAAAGCAAGTAAATGAGCGTGAAGTTTTTATAAAATGTCACAATTGATATATGAACAAGATCTCAGAGGGGGGAAAAAAAGGTGGGAGAAGATATTCCAAAATCACTTGGTTGCACATATATATTTCATCATTTTAATTTGGTTACTATACCGAATCACAAATAGCCAAACTGGAGATACAATTTTCCATGACCGTTTTCTTCTCTGCATTCCTGATATGTTCTCTCACTTTCCAACTCTTCTATTTCCAGGCAGTTGTACCATATGAAACTGACAGCAATTGTTCTGATTCATGGTTTAGGAGGAGTAGCTGATTAATCCCATGTCAGCAGTCTTGACCCTATGTGGAAAATAGAACCTTAGACGGCCCACTCAACAATATATCAGGGTGCAGAGTTGTGTGGCTTGCCTTGCTCTTAAATGTAATGAAAGTTTAGGGCAATGCTGAACAATGATTTGCTGCCCTTCTCCACCCCACCCCCCACCCCTTTTAACCTAAAGAACATTCTAGTATGGGATAGGAGTGTAATGGGTAGAGGGGGTGAGCAATTAAAATTTTCTGGGACAAAAATCTCATGTTTCCAAATATTTCAATTGTGTCTTCCACGAAATGCTTAAAAACATTTTTTTTTCCTTAAACATAATTACTGATTTAAAAAAGATACCTGGTTGTATGGGTTTATTTTAAACTTTTACATTTTCAACCTTGGCATTTTCCCCTCTTTAATGACTACACAATGTTCTCCCACCTTTTATGCAGAGATCTAATTGTCCTTATTATAAAATAATTGCAAATAACTCCAAATTCCAGAATCACATGTAATACGACACGCTCAATTTTAAAGAAACGTGTATGTGTTATATTTTTAAAACATAAAAGACAAGCTTTGAGGAAACCAGTTAGTTCTTAAGATGGCATTTTTCTTTTTTCACAAAAGCCCTAAACTGGGCATGTATTTCTACTATGAATTGGGATAAAATCATAGTAGTACTCTGTATTATGTTCTCCAAACTTATAATTAAAATGAAGGGATAAAGTGGAATTC